TCCGGCCAGAACGTTCTCGAGTGCACATTTAGAGACAGGTACCAATTCTGAATCCGTTATGTTCGGGTGTAAAACCGTGCAATCTATGAAATATTTTACCAACCATAGGACCCAATACCTCCAGCTCGCGCACCGCCACTCCATCCCCCACTACCACGTTATCCAAGCAGCATATTGTCCACCTTGGTATGGATAAATCAGTGAAAACCTTGAAAATACAAGGTATGTGCCATCATTCTGATCAGAAGATACGTTGGAGTACCACAGGTGGGGCTGTATGGATAGTCTACCCTTGAATTGAAAAGCTGCTTATCCGAAATCAACGGGAAGCATCTCCACGCTCATTCGATGACTGCGTTCATGTATTGTGTTCGATGATCCACTTCGCAATTTGAACCATTCCGCTTGCTCACCTGAGAACACAAAGAGATTCACGCAAGGTGAAACACCCTGCTCGCAAGACCCACACAAGAGCAAAGAACGAGTTGTACATTTTGGCACAAGTTTAGGCACATACCACAAAATATTCAACCCTCCGCATCAAAAAATTTTACTGATACTCTTTGGGCTCCTCATCTTTTTTGCAGAGCGTGATTTCTACTATTCTGCGTTGTTCAGCAAAAAAATGGCAAGCGCTGCTTTACTGGAAGGCGAAGGGAAGGGTGCAATGTTTGAATATATTGTACTCTGTGCTTATTTGTGCATGTGAATTAACCTCTTCATCTGCATTTGGGGGCCATACCGCTCGAAGTCTATCGTCGCCGCGTGTGGCACCCTTCTCTTAGGCGGCGGGCGATAGGTGAATTCCACACCTTCCACAATCTGAGAAGGACTGACTCGCATGCCTGAGGAATCACCAACACCCTGTAAGAAAACCATGGCCTCGTCCATTTGGCAAGGGTATGCCCATACAGTTTGCATTCAAGCAACGGTACCCTAGCTTACCCATCATGCCTATATTGTGCGGCAATGGCACGTAATATGATATGTCACTTGCCTTATCTTCCCATTTTTCCACATGCGCAAACAGAAGCGAATTTCAACTTGGAGATTTCGTTTTGCGAAACTCCGAGTGTCCCCGTATTCTCTACGTGGAGCGATTTCATGCCGGGCAAATTGAATATGTTGCTTTACAGAAAGTAAAGTAGCCTATCCTCTAGGGCAGAATTTAGAACAACCTCCCTTGAATAAGTTTGGCTACAATGCCGCAATTCCAGTTAAGGCGTCCAATTTTGCGAAAACCAAGTCTCTTGCCTATGGGGAAAATACAATTCGTGAATGAATCTTGTTTCGTAAGTTTGCAAAACCCGGGCTTACCCAATTTCCAAAACATGCAGTTCAGCTCAGGGTTTGTAGTACTGCTTGTACTAATTTTCCTAAAAGAGCTCTGAAATTCAGCTTTCAGATCTCCATGTTCAAAAAAATGAATTCGACATTTCTGAACAGTTGGGCTATCACAAAAGTGGTACAAAGATTCGCTCAACACAATCTTGATATATGCGTGGCGCCTCACCTTTGTATTTTCCCTCCGACAATTCTTTGTAGCGCTCCACTGCCGACAGCATTGTTTTGACCACGAATAAGACAGAATCTGGAGCACCCTGAGCATAAAAAACTGTGCAACATTAAACGAATTTGTGAAATACTTATCAGTATCACTCGCCTCAGGATCGAACACCCAACAACGAGAGTGCCACGTAATTTCCGCCGCAGCAGACTGAACGCAAGACGCAACCGCTAGGTTTGCTTAAATTCGACCTTAGCATATCTGATCCTTCGATATTGTACCGATATTAGGTCTTCAGGCCGTGTCACTTGAAATGTAGCTATTTGGTCAATCTGAGGGATTCTTCGTCAATCGATCTTCACTCAGCAGCTCGATTGTTCAGCCTTTGGGTACGGCCACCTGGAATATTCGTTTCTCTCGAAGATGCGCGAGAATGTCGCTTCTCCTAACAAAGTTATATTGCCAGACAGTGGCATCTACATGTGCTGCACATTGCTTACCATAGCATATTCAACCCTTCCACATTGCAACGTAAAACTTGGCCTTTTCTTGCGGAGAGAACAACGAAACAAATACCGTTGTTTGAGTGGAATTTTGCAGAGCAATCTAGAAAATAAAGTAACGTTCTGGAAAAAAGAATGCGGAGTAAAAAGCGTAACCGTTACGGTCAAATTTTCTGATGCGGGAAGGTTGAGTATTTCACTGCAGAGTAGGGGGCCCATATATGGCGCCCCCCCGTGACATGGCCAAAAGGAGGGAGCTATTGGGACCCCGGGGCGCTAAGCAGGGTGCCATAAGCAGCCGGTGCAAATGGCACCCTGGCCGCCGGTGTAGGGAGTAACCTAAGCTGCTGGTGTAGAGGGTACCATGGCCGCCGGTGTAGGGGGTACTCTAGTCGCCGGTGTAAAGGTTGCCCTGGCTGCCGGTATTGGGGATACCCTAGCCACCAGTGTAGGGGGTATCCTGGCCGCCAGTGTGGGGGTACCTTGCGCCTGTGTACGGGTACAGGTCCCACTGTGCATCAAAGCTACATAAGTACTACAGAAATGGTGACAAGCCAAAAATGGGGACTCTATTCTGGGCCGGGGGCGTTATTAGTGGGGCGCTATATACGGACCACTACTGCACTCGCATGCTCGCTCGTTCCGTTGTCGGCCTTCTACCATTGGAAGCTTTTCATGTTGTTATTTTTAACACCCTTTCAGGACAAATGAGTACAAGAAAGTATTTTAAAGTACTGAACCTTATATCGTTTTCCCCAAAACAGTGTTTTTTGTGCAATAGAAGCCCTAGTTAGTACATTCGGTGTTGCTTCCTCAGCGTTCAATGTTTCTCGATCGTTCGGCCACGATGGCAGTTGCTCGTTCATTGACTTCGTTATCCTTTTGTCCAATCCGGCCCAGGTCCAAGCAGTGCACAGGAAGCAACTCTAGCCTCACTCAATGCAGCGTTGGTCATTGGAACGCCTTACGAACGGACTCCCTTCCGAATAGGCTCGGAAAGGGTCCTGCGTCCTCCATAGCAGACACAAGTCAATTTGAAGCTGCAAAGTGGCGCGTCCTGTCAAGTGCACAGAACCCAGATCTTTGGCAGCCCAACAGAGACTCTCCGCGCCGGCTGAGGATGCGCCGGAAGTATGGCAGCTCCTGGACCTTTGCAAGAAAGGTAAATTATTGTGTCGGTTTAGGAACCACCCAAAGCACTCTTCAGGCTTTCATGACCGCCAACATTTGGGATTCACGAAAGGCTGAAGAATGCTTTGGATGCTTCCTTTCGAGTATGCCAAGTTGTGCACCTCGATGCGAAAGACACGGATCCTCCTGCCGGCCAGTCTTCGCGATGTTGTCGTGCATGAAGATATGCCTGCGCCAGACAGGCGCACAATGGTGCGGATGGACGCCCCTCCGGTACCTTGGAGGCGCACAAAGAACAAAGATCTGAGTTGGCGAAGATGTGACTGGAACCGCATGACTTGCCGCCTGCGGCATCATCCTTGCAATGATGATAACTTTAGTAATTCTTAGGCCAAATCTGGCTCCCTTGGCATGTCTAGATCTGAGTTGCGGAAGACACTTTGGACAGCAAGAGCTAGTTAAGTTTAAAACTTAATGAGCATTCAGGCACAATATCGGTGCATTTGCTAGGCATCTGTCTTTCATTCTCTGATATGGACGGAAATTGTCTCTCCGATGTAGAGGGGAATTGAAGTACGGCGAGATCTACAGTAGATCGTCCCAATTTTGTGTGGAGGAAAGGTAGACGCTGTTGAATGGTGTTCGTAAGTACCATCGATACAACACCAAAAAGTGCAACAAGGCCAGTGTATCACCATTGACGCAATTCTGGCACCTACATCAACGCTTGTCAACACTAACATATGATCATTTGGTGATTATCAAATGGTCATTTGCACAACGGCAATGCCCCTTGAATCGATACCGGACATCAAATAAATGAAATTTGCAGTCTCAATGTGCCCAACATCGCCTATAAGGTGCAAGAGTAGTGTTTTGTCATGTTTATGTGACAAATGCAATCAAGGAATTTGGGCAGTCCCAGTATATCATCAACGCCCATCGTTTTCCCAAATGATGGCCGGCTCCCATCATTGCAGATGTTGTGAATAAACTTGCATTTCCACATTGCTTGCTCCAGCGGAATTCAGCAGCGTCGTCCATCACCCACCGATGATGAAACCAGCCACCTGGAGGGTCATCTTCAATTCCACAGCCCTGTGCACACAACACATGGCATCTGCTGTCAGCCCAGCTCCCACGTGACATTCCATGAAATATTAAACAAAAGACACAAAAGAAACATAAATGCAGTTCACGCATCAAATATAATGAGTATTCAACATTTTAGCGCCATTTCGTTCGTATTAGAAATCGCGCAGAAGGGATGAAATCGTCATCTGGAAAAATAGCGGATGTTCGTGATGCCATTTGAAAACAGTTTTAAATTGATTAATACTTGCCTGTAGCCGAGCCGCCGCGCCCCTACCACGCCTTCGGGAGCATGCTCCACGGCGTTGGCTTCTATTTGGGCCTCTGAAAAATAGGTGAGGCGCAAGCCAGAACATGTCTTAGTCGATTTTGGCTATTGCCTGCATGATGGAGGGCATGCTAATTCGTAATCCCACATATTCTACTGAACGCGCCTTGCCTGGCAGGTACACTGATCCAGGCATTGCGATTGTCATGGTCATGAACGTTTTATATCATTATATTTGCTTTCTCTAATACATTAGCATATTTGTGATCGAAATACACCTCATGGCAGTGGCAAAATGTGATGTCCCAGTAGCTGTCTCGGCGCGCTTGAGGTAGCACAGTGCTTGGAAGTGCATTATGATCTAAATTGTACCGCGTACGCTGCAGCGCACTTCCAGCTGGAAGTACTGTGTTCGCCGCATTGGAAATGCCAAATCCGTTTTCCTTCTAAATTGAAACAACGATTCGCATGAAATCGTTGAAATAAAGTTCGTATTTTTGAGTTACACTGCGCAAAATTGAAAAGTCGCTTTGAATCAACGACCGTCATTGCCTTGCGCTGTTTCTTAGATAAATCAGCTTGCCAACAGCGCATCACATGAAATAATACACCATCAAAAAAATTTGGTACAACCAAGTATTCTAAAGTACTGAACGTCGGCTTGTTGTCCGAAAAATAGTGTGAATGTCTAAAGCCAAACGTGCACTTGTAGCTTGTTTCGTTTTTACAGAGCAAGGAAAAGTTCTTGCACTTTAGTTACTTAAATAAAGACAAGGCGCTGAGGCATCATCAGTATACACATTACGCGTGCACTTCGTAAACACGTATCATAGTTAATTCAAAGTACGTAGTATTTGAAGGACGCATTGTAGTCCATTCAAAAGAATGCAAATACCACTAGGGAAAAAAGGGCCAAATAACACTTTTGAGAACACACATAAAACACATTTAATCAAAGTTCTGCACGCCAAGAACACAAAAATATCACAAACCCGTAAACTTTGTACACGCTTGAACACGTGTTATTTGGCCCTTTTTTCCCTAGTGTACGTATCCGGAAAAGGCGGATGCTTACGATCTTCCAGGCGTTGGTCATGGTCCACAATGAAAGGGGAAAGGCCCAGCGGCGGAATTTGGAAGACTGCCCTCTTTTCTGTGTTCGCCACAATTTCTGTCCCTCCGGGTGCATCCCTGGGAGTATAATATGGCCAACCCGAGGAGCCGGGGACAATATCCTTGCACCTGAGGGAACAGAAAGACCGAAAACGTGGCTCAAATGCGCACCATTTAGTCGAATATCCGAATTCAAAAGGCAGCAACCTGGAGTCCAAATTCCAAATCAGTCGTCACTTTAGTTTAGGACTCCAAGTAAGGGCACGTGCGAGTGCCGAAATGGCATCGGACATCAAAACATGGCTTTACAGTTGAACCGGGAAGGAGAGGTGTGGACATTGTAGGTTAGAATCAAAGGATCAAGAAGGCGGCCAGCCCATTGATGCAGTGGAGAAGGCGTTGCAACAACACCCGAGCATCGATCGTGGCTCCCTTATGTCAATGACAAAGCCGCATCAATATAAACATCCCAATATTTTCGACACCTGTACCCTACTGCAGTATTGCTGCCGGACACGGGCTTTGAGAAGCGAAGAAACACTATCCCAATTTTCTTCAAATGTAATGAGAGCATTGCAGCACGTGCTAACAGAAGGACCAAGCCTCAATCTGGCCAGCCGGTCAAATGTTACGCATGGGTAACGAATTTCGTGCGACATCAATTAATTGCCGGTGCGGACAGTCCGATTTCGGAGTTTCACACAACTATAAATGCTCACCCGATGTCCCGATCATACACAATGAATGCCTGTGCATGCACTCGGCAGTGCGCACTGGTGCATGTGTAAAGCAGTCAGTATCGCACAACATGTGCAGTACAACCAGTACTGATTGCATATACCGCGAGTCAAATTTGTCCTCAAGGCGATCCATCGCGTCCAGGGCCTGAACTCCAGTTCGCTGCGCCGCTTGCTTGCATTGCGCTAAATGGGGGCACACCCATGATTGTGAAATGTGGCACCTGCCGTCGAAACCGCGATCATGGCTTCAGCGGACGGTGTCAGATGCAGCGCAGGGAGGGGACGCAAACATCTATGCGCACAACTGGCGGGGCTTGTCGACGGGCGTGTATGGGCGTGCGTGCGCGCACCTGGGTGCGATGTCTTTATGCCACATGCCAGGCGCCAGCACAGCGGGGGAGGCCCAAATTGGGCTGCGGGCAACCTGCGCAAGCACAGTGAATCTGGGCTGGGTGCCAATTGGGCACAACTCCTTGTTGGTAAAGACGGCGCCTGCTACTGGCCGCTGGATAGTCGCCGTGCTGGTTTGACCCCATCCTCGCGGCGCTCGCTCGCACGTGCGATATGCGAAGGGGGCCTTGTGCTCTGTGGCCTCAAGGGATCGTGCCGATCCCAGCGATGTCATCACAACGCGACCGGTCGCCAAGCATCGCGTGATGCACACTGCGCACTTCGCCGTTCAATCTCGCGGTCACTGAGACATCGGCCTCCAATGGGCGCCACAGTCGCTTGCATATCCGGCCCCCCTAGGGGTCCACAGTCCCTTTCATTTCCACACCCCATAGGCCTATGACTGAAAAGTCATACAGGGCTTCGCCGGTCAGGCATCGGAGAGGTACCACGATAGAGATGCATCCCGCGCCCGAAACCCAACGCACGAAAAGGACAAATAGGGTAGAAGACTGAAGGGCTTACAAAATACAAGAGAGAGTTTGTGTGGGTGACGAAGTCGAAGGCAGGCCGTGCTGTGCATCCCCCAAGTACTGCCGGACGGCCCACGTGATGGCATCATGTGGAGAGTCAGGGGCCACCGAGGGTGCAATCACCACGAGGTCCACGCGCCTGACCCCGTGACCTGAGGTGCCGGCCGACGAACGACAACCCGATTGCCCCCAACGCACAGAAGAGCTTACCCACAAGGCAGGGGTTCGCTTTGCCGAGCGTTACGCCAGCGTCGGTCCTGACCAAGGGCCGGACAGGAAAAAATCTCGCGCATCCGTGCCGGAAGGGCGCATGCCCCTCCGCAACACACTACTCTTTTCGAAAAGAGACGTTCGCACCGCCGGCGCTGGAGCGCAAGCGCCCGTGGCCTGCGGCGCCGGCGAGCGACCTCGGGGGAAGATTGGACAACGCGGTGACTCCGGACGGACGGGTGAAATGCCGCGATCTTTTGCGCCTCGCGACTGGCAGCGCATTTCGTGGGCCAGCCGGCCGGCCTCACCCCCTTCAACGCCAGCATCGCTTCCGCCGCTTCAACGAGGCGAGAAGTTTCGTCCTCAGCCGGCGCGGCACCGACGCCGATCGGGCGCCCAATTCCCTGAAGCCCATCGCCACCATCCGCTTCCCGGCCCTCCCTGAGCCCCTGCTTTCGCTGCGCAGGATGGCGCTCCCCACCCTAACCCCAACCACCCAACCACACTCCCCCGCCTTCGCCACTACACCCAGAGAAGCATCCTCCCTACAGGAGGTTCATGCCGTCGTTGTGAAAAGGCGACTGGTTCTACGGACAAGCCAGCCGATTGCGTTCGCCCGCGCACGTAAATTGAGCCTCTCAGTCGACTGACCCCCGGACGCCTGACCGACGCCATGAGGTGCGGCGCTCTCTTTCTGTGCAAAGCGCGATGCGGAAGCCTGATGCACAAGCAGCTGCTCCGGAAACCGGAGCCCCGAACGCGGAGTGCCGTCTGTACCTGGACCATTGTTCTGCCTCGGTACCTCGAGATCAGGAACTATCCTCGTCCGGTAAGTTCGAACGCAATCGAACCCACTGGGGCCAATTCACGCCCTGCATCCTCCCCGGGCAACGCGCTGGGCGTCCTCACGGCCGTGGAGCCGGCGCGTTCGTTTCGGCGATCTGAATCAGGAACACTCCGCGCCATTAAATCTGGCCGTATTCGAGCCGTTTTGGGATCTATCGCTGGCCGAAATCGTTCCTGGGCAGCACGCTTGGGCAGCCGCGGCTCCGTGCTCTCTCACCCTTGCCATCGAAGAGGGGCACCGACGCGCACCGTCGATCCCGTCGCTGTCCGACAGCAGGGCGGCATCCCAGCTGGCGGGAATCGTCGCCATTCTCCTCCAGCGATGCTGCCTCGCGCCGTTGATCCGGTCGGCCCCGATCAGCGCCCCGACTTGATCGAGGGCCCCCCCGCTCTCGGCGGTGCGGTGGGCTGCCCGGGGGGTGGCATTGGGCGCCTGGGAGGGCGGTGGTAGCTTGTGTGCGCCTGGAGGACGGCGCTCGCGTGATGGGTGTCCGATTCACGGCTTGGGGATGGGGTCGACGGTTGTACAATGCACGTTGGAAGGGGGAGTCATCGCCTTCTGATGTGCTGTTTTGGGGAATGGTGCCCAAGGACCAGGACTGCCCTCTTCCCTGCCCCTGGCCACGTGGCCGCGCACAGCAGCGCGGCATCCCATCAGAAGTACGCGGTGCCTCTGACTCGATCACCGGTTCACGCACATCCGATTTGCTGTGCGCGCTTCAACGAGCCCTTCGTGTGGGCGCACCGGGAGCTGAGAGATGACTCCTCGCTCCGATCCGCGGTGATGTCTGATTGGCTGAACCGAATGCCGGGGGCATTTCCGGTGGAATGCACAAAGCGCTGCACAGCACTTCGTGGCGCGCTGGCCGTGCACAGCGCTGCGCGTGGCTTACTTCATGGTGCCACCAACACTATTGCTGGAAAGTATGAAACAAGGCTCAGTATTTTGTACTTCCTCCGTCCAAGATTATTGTCCTCTATGACTGTACCGCTATGCTTCTCTATCAAAAATGCTTCATTTTTCAATGAAACTTCCACCAATGGTGCGCCTATCTTTGGGAGTATACGGTCCGAATTTCAGGTCAGTCCGTTAGGTACCAAGGATTTGCGACAGGACTTTGTAGCATGGTCCTCCTGCCAGAAACCCACCCGTTTTTCAACAAAGTCGCCGAAACGGCCATTTTTCGCGACGGTGAGGAGCACAACTTTGCGGCGGCCAAACAAGACCGCCCATGCAAAACCATCCATGCCATTTAGACAGAAGCTCGGAGGGGTCCCTACGAAGAAGCAAAGAAGTAGAAAACGTGTCTTGCCGGGCTTGATCGTGGAAGTCGCCGTGGCTTCGCTGACCTAATTCGAGATCGATTGGCCAGTTCGGGAATGCATTCCCGGCCTAGATTCCTGGGCCGTGACCTTTGAAACTCCATCACGGCTGCGAGAGATACCGCACAAGTCCTCCCAAGCCCCTCGGCGAGGTGCAAAGGAATGTGATGGCCATCACCCTAACCAACGGCGGACAATTGAGGAATGGCTTCCAAGGTGGGATGACAAAGTCGACCCTTGCCTCGACAATTGGAAAGGTAGAACGCGAAGCGAACGGTCAGATACGTCACTTTGTGTCCCTCTCACAAGTAGAGACTATGCGGATTGGGAAGGGTTGCGGACTATATGTGCAAGTTGGCCACTAGTGCCAATTTTGGGAGTGTGGGCACAGCCCCACATGAAAGCCTCGTTTCAAAGATCAATCGAAGTATGCTATATCAGAGAAAAGTTATGGCACATCCCTAGAATGATAGCACGGACAGATCCCAAGCTTGAGCTTGTTGGGGGTTTGCCTTTTCCGCTTTTGGCAAGTCCTCGCATCCGAAGTCAGGGAGGGTGGCGATTTCTGCCATCGTCGACGCTGTGGCAACGGGCTTATTCGGTGGGGATCCGAAGACGGTTGAGCGTGTTTGGCAAGCGCTACACCACGTGAGGGACGCTACCCCTCGCCACAATGGCAACAGTGACTTTGGTTTGACACGCCTGGGGAGAGAAAGACTCAGAACCACCTGGATCCCCAAAGGGCGCGGAACCAGAATGCACAATTTTCAGCCAAATCTCAGGCAATTTCAAGGGGGCATCAGAAGTAGTGGGGATGAGTATTTTTCCAAAAAGTTAGTAGTCAAGAGTTTTAATTTTTTTGCACCCAATCTTTTCGATTTTCATCTCTGTTGGTACTTTGGAAGCGGTTCAGTTACCGAAATTTATCGCCCAAATATGGAACAATTAATCTTGGACGGAGGAAGTAGTATTCAGTTGACCATTTATTCCCTGAAACGGCATTGCGGACAGCCACAGGCGCAGCAATGAAGCATAAGCGTGGCTCATGTCCGCGACCAGGTTGGACGCATCCAGCTTAAAAACTGCGATGTACATGGCGGAAGATCATCCAAGTTGATTGAAACTTGTACGTCATCTGTCCGGAATGAAACAAAGCAGTTTGTTGGCAGGGCGGATTCGCATCAAATACTTGTTTTTTTCTTGAAAATGCGGCGCAGCACCTACTATGCAATGTGTGGTAGGTATAGTATACATGCATCAGCTGCTGACAAAAATGTCTAAAAGGAAAGGTTAAGCACAGCACACTCGGCACTGCATTCGACCGGCGCTGCTCCAGTCCAGAATCTAAACGCTCCAAAGGCGTCCCATGCCAGAACCAAATACGGGTTCCGAGTGCGGCATTGCCCAACACACACGTGCGGCCCTTTTCGGCGAGCTCCAGGCCACTGAAGAGGAAGAGCGGCCAGCGGCTAGCCTTGGAACAGCTGCGTGCGCCAAAAGCTCTCATTTCGTTGCGGATCTCCAACGAGTGAACTGGTTGCACACACGAACGATGTATGGTGTGGATGTTCTATCTGAGACCCCAAGAGGTGTATGCTTGTGCTCTTGCGTTCTGCAAGGGTGGCGCTAAAAATCTGTTGAAGCAGCACCCCTCACAGCGGCGTGAGCGGCAAACGAAACATTTCTTGGCCGATGCCTGGGCCAGTTGCATCCTGAGATTTTTTCGCTGCTGTGAAGCGAGTTGACAATATTACTCATCCATATTTTCTTTGGGGATCTAAGCACTTGCAGCCACCCTTCCCAAAGTGGCGGCTCTTGCGGAAACGCCATGACTGCGAGGTTCACCGGGTCCGGATCCACGATTAGAAATTGAAATGCTCAGACGGCCGTCAAAACCACGGTCGCGATCGTCCATCGAACAGTACGCATCACGGTTCCGCGGCCTCTATGCTTGGATAGCAAGGCCTCCGACATGCCGCCATAAAGGCAGTCGCATATATGCGTTCTTCGCCACGCACTGACAGTCGCAAAGCGACCTAGTCAAGGGGCCGTTTTGGAGGTAGTTCGGTGGGAGCGTGAGAATTTTGGAGTATTTGGAAAAGTCATTTGGGTTAAAAGTACTACAATATTACCTGTTTTATTTGTTGTTCACAAAATTTTTGAGAGCATGCATTAACCTCTTAGGCAGTGCTTTGGCCAAATTTTAATGCAAAAAATAGAAAGCGCGTGATACAAAGACGACCTCGCGGAAAAATTGTTTCTTTTTATTTCCGACCGAAGAAGTACATGGCCTTGAAGTCCAAATTACCAAGCATCGAATTGAGATTTTTTTCGCAGTAGTTTATTGCAACATCTGGAGTTGGATCAGAAGTCGATGCGACATTGTGGCTCCATTGCCATTCACACACTGCCCAGCAAGACTGCGCAATGGCTCGTGCATCAATGCAATCTTGAAAAGCTTTGATGTGCGCACCAACAGAGCGCCAATGTCAAGCCCAGTAACGAAGTAGCTATGACTTCTTTGCGTCTACATGTTACAACTTTTGGTTGATTTGGCTGCTGGAATGCAGGTCTGTAGTTGAGCACACCGGCGCCACCAAAAATGGACTCTTGGTGTCATCCAATTCGGCCGATTTGGTTCAGGTGTTTTGCCCTTGTCCTCAGAAACGAGGGGTAGTAGCGGAACTGGAAGTGAAATCCAATGGCGCGTTGGCCTGGATAGGCCTCAATTTAAGGGACTCAAGCTCAGTGAAGAGCTCTGAAGCATCCACAGTATTGGTCCCTTACTTGATATTTTGAGCGTATGTTACATCGATATTGATTGCATGTTATGTTGTGTTGAGTGCATATATGTTGACAGCGGAGAAAACTTAACGAAAACAAAATCTTCGGCGGCAACTCGCGGCTTCAAATTCAAAGCGGGTTCTTGGTTGGTATAGAGGAAGTGTACATCAATGGTTGCGATAATGATGTTTTATGATTATATCCATTATTGTTGACATGATACCACAATCAATGGTTAAAAAGAAAAGATGCACATAGATCAAGTGATGGCCATCGCAAAAATGCGCAAATAGAACTGCGTTGTCACGTACGTTGTGCCCATGCAGCCGCGCCATTAACTTAATCAATAGAACATCACGTGAACACACTGAACTGAAACAGTAAACCTTCGTTTTGAGGAAACCAGTACGAGGGAAAGCATGTTCAAATTCATGCCAGGAAAGCGGTGCAACAAATTTACTGCATTACTTTCTCTTGACGTGGTCTTCTAGTTGATACAGTTGTTTCACCATTCGGACTGAGAAGCGACAGCTCCGCCATTCACATGCACGCTGAAAAGCTGTTACTCTAAAGTATTAAGCCTTCCGCATAGTAAAGTAACGCTTGGCCCTTTTTGCGGAGAGAACAACACAAATAGTGACACAAATCTTGGGCTTTCTGTGGTGAGCAGCGCAAGAAGAATAAAACAACGCTCTGAAAAACAAAATGCGGAACAAAGACGCAATGGTGAAATTTCCCGATCCGGAAGGGGTGAACATTTTACAGTACTGTAGTACTAGTATTACACGCATCGTTCATATCTAAACCGGTTGGGAGCGCCCCCAGCGCCACAGGCAGCGCAGCGGCCACGGGGACACGCGCCGCGGGCCCGGCCGCTAATTCAATTACAAAACGTTATAAACCACCCAGTTCCTTCGCATTTCTCGCCCCGTATGCGGGAAAGTTTCGATTCGATACTACGCTACTAAATCGGATTCGGTGTTCAGCCCGCCCTCCTCAACGCATTCATTCGCCAGCCCGCCAATCGCGCCAAAATTTTCCCTCGCTCTCCTGCCCTCTCGCATTCCGCGCCGCCCCTGCTTGAGGCTCGCCCTGGCTTCCCAGAGCCTGGGCAACCAACACCATTTCTGGAAAGTATGGCGCAAAGCTCAGTACTTTATGCTACTCAGTTGGCCATTTCTTCCCTGACACCGCGCCAGGCGCGGGCGGCTCTAAAAAATTATCAAGTCACTATGGCACACGGCCCCGTCTTCGTCACGACCCCACGTGGTGACTTATTGACAAATGGAGCTCGTGCAAATGGGGCGTCCCGTTTCCACCTGCTCGGTGGATCAATTGGATCCCTCGGCGTGCTC